AGATGTAAATCTTCTATCAAGAAAGATCATTTCTGATTCTGTTGCACTGCTACTATAGAATGCCTGTTTTGGCGACTGCTAGTCATTTATTACAAACCCACACACTCACGCAAACATGCACTCACAACTGCATTTTATGGCTTAGCTTGGGTTTCCTAGAAACCGCTCCAGGTTATTAGAAATCATTAATCAGCTGGAAGGTGTTTCTTGGGGGGAGAGAGGAACAAAACAATGCCAAATGCTTACATGCTGTTGCTAAGTAAATAATATGCCCAGAAAGTTCCCAGGAGCAAAGCACAGTTTATAAGAGTCTTTATATTTGGTCTCTGGTGACTTAAAGCAGCACCAGGCATGGCTAACGTGACAAAAAGCATGTACTCATCCCCGCGATCTCGGTACAGTTAACGATCAAATAGCTCTAGTGGAGATCCCATCTCAGTTCCTGAGTGAGGATGGCACAGCAGTATTACTGCATTGGCACGTTCTCTGGATCCCCTCTGCAAATAGACAGTACAGGAATATCTTGATAGGACGGGGCTTGGTCGAGACTAGGGCTCTCCAAATGTGGCAACTTTAAGAGTCATTGCAGGCTGGGGAATTCTGGGAGTTGACGTCCACAAGTCTTAAAGTTGCCACGTCTGAAGACCCTGGATTAAAAGATAAAGTGGGCTTTTTAAAAAAGAAGGAAGGAAGAAAGGAAGGAAGGAAGGAGGGAAGGAAGGAAGGAAGGAAGGAAGGAAGGAAGGAGAGAGAAAGAAAGAAAGAAGGAAAGAAGAAAGAAAGGAGGGAGGGAGGGAGGGAAGAAAGAAAGAAAAAGGAAGGAAGGAAGGAAGGAAGGAACTGTGCCTCCTTCCTCCCCCACAGACTGTTAATCTGAGGGTCCGTGTGTTAAAATCAAGGGTTTATTGCATACATTATTTATGTCAACTGCATAGTGATGAAAAGGGTGGAGGTTGGTGCAAATGACAGAAATTTAGATTTCTCCAACACTTTTTATTTATTTATTTATTTATTTAATTTTACTTCAAATTTATATACCGCCCTTCTCCCTAGAGACTCAGGGCGGTGTACAGCCAAGTAAAAACACATAAATACATAATACATAATACATAGATTAAGAAACAGATTAAAAGGAAATATCTCAATTTGGCCCAAAATTTAAAAAGTCAAATGAATTTAAAATCATTTAAAAGGATTTGTTAGGCCAGCCCGGCTTGTTGAAAAAGGAAAGTTTTAAGGGAACGGCGGAAGGCACGAAGGTCTTGGATTCTCCTTATTTCTGGGGGCAGTTGATTCCAGAGAGTGGGAGCCCCCACAGAGAAGGCCCTCCCCCCGGGGGTCACCAGCCTGCATTGTTGGCTGATGGCACCCCGAGGAGGCCCTCTCTGTGGGAGCGCACGGGTCGATGGGAGGTCGTTGGGAGGTTGTCGGTGGCAGAAGGCGGTCTCAGAGATAACTAGGTCCTATGCCATGGAGCGCTTTAAAGGTGGTAACCAACACCTTGAAGCACACCCGGAAGAAGCCCCCCCCCCCCCCCCCCGTTTATATCTTCCAGAAGACCTTCCTTGGCAAGGCATAGGTGCAGGTGTTGAAAATATCTAAGGACCTGGCTCTGCCACCTCGCTTGAATATGCAACCATGGGGCTGGTTAACACTCTGAACTCTCCTGTCTTGTAATTAACTTTTAATGTCAGCTTTAACTATCCTGGCCTCCATTTTAAATTTTATATTCAGTTTTTAATGTTTTATTTGAACACCGCCCAGAGTCTCCTGTGAGGCAGATCCATGGTGCCTAAATTTATTTATTTATTTGTGTCAGAAGCATCGTTATTAAAATTCCGTGCGTAGGTATGAATGCAAACAAAACAATGTAAATTTTCAAATGTATAAAAGCCTAATTTGGGCGGTGCTTGCCCAGAAGCATGCAACATTGATTGCGTTCTGTTGCACTGTCATAAGGCCCTCAAGAGGACATGGGGCAGAAGGCAAGTGTACAAGTGTGTGGTGCTTTGCAGATCTCCACATTCACAGTAGGCAGAGGTCACCAAGTATCCCCATTTATTCAAGGTATCTCTTGATCTTGCTGCTCCTAAAGATGATAGGTAGGTAGGCAGGCAGGCAGGCAGATAGATACGGTAGATAGATTAGATTAGATAGATAGATGATAGATAGATAGATAGATAGATAGATAGACAGACAGCTAGATAGATAGATAGAAGATAGATAGATGATAGATAGATAGATAGATAGATAGATAGATAGACAGACAGACAGACAGACAGACAGACAGACAGACAGACAGGCAGGCAGGCTAGTTGGCAGGTAAGCAGGCAGACAGATAGAGTAGATAGATTAGAATAGATAGATAGATAGATAGATAGATAGATAGATAGATAGACAGACAGACAGACAGACAAAGGAGAGGTGGGGAGGGGGGAGGAGAAGAGGAGAGAGGAGAGGAGAGGAGAGGAGAGGAGAGGAGAGGAGAGGAGAGGAGAAGATAGAAAGGCAAGCAGGCTAGTTGGTTGACAGGCAGACAGGCAGGCAGGCAAGCAGGCAGATAAAAATAGTTAGTGCTGGAGAGAAATATGGTGCTGGAGAAGCCTCTTGAAAGTCCCTTGGACTGCAAGGAGATCAGATCAGTCAAAGCTAAAGGAAATCAACTCTGAACTCTGTTCTTTGGAAGGACAGATCCTGAAACTGAAGATCAAATAAGCTTGGACCAAAAAAAAGGAGGAGGGGATGGCAGAGGATGAAATGGTTAGGTAGCGTCATCGACACAATGGACATAAATTTGGGGGAAATGCGAAAGACGATGGAGCACAAGGGAGCCTGGCGTGCTGTGGTCCATGGGGTCGTGAAGGGTCGGACACGACTTAGCGATTGAACAAAGGAGAGGGGGGGAAAACTAGATAGCTTCACCTGCAGGAAGGAGAGAAGGTCCTCTATCATGGGCAAAGGCTGTGGGCTGCTTTAGCATCTTTTGAGAGTGGTCCTCCAAAATCAGCCATCTGAATCAGAGCTACAAGCATCCCTGCACTAACAGATCTTCCTCCAAGGACAAATCCATTCATGAGAAAGATTGCACCCCAGTGGTGCATTTATCACACCTGAATGTCCATTTTATCTGAATCTACCAGTGAAAAATCGCGAGCTGCTAAATGATCTAGATGCGGGAAACTGGCTGGCAGGATTTCCCCTCATTGAGGAATATTTCGATTTTATCTTTATTCCGTATCGATATTATCTGTATTGATATTCTCTTTCTCACCTTTCCTACTACCTTCTCCTATTGGTATTGATGATTTTATCCCTTGCTGTTGTATCTCCTGATTAATGATTGCAACTATGACCTACTGTATCACTTTGTCATTTGTATGTACACTGAGAGCTCATGCCCCTGAGGGAAATTTCCTGTGTGTCCAATCACACTTGGCCAATAAAGAATTCTATTATTCACTTCTCAAGAATGAGAAAGCAGAATAGTTAAGTATTAATTTCCAGGAGCTCATCTACTCTTCCTCTCCCTCAAAACAGTCTATCCCCGAAAATAAGACCCAACCGGAAAATAAGCCCTAGCATGATTTTTCAGGATGCTTGTAATATAAGCCCTACCCCCCAGTTAAAATTGTCAGCCAGATGGGTGCATTTCAGGGATTGGTTTTACTTACCTTTACTACCGGTTTGCAATGGGGCTGCGCGCGCAGACCTTCTGCACATGCACAGAAGCATTTTGATGACATTGGGGTCGGTGGACAGAGCCTCCCGCCGGTTTTACTACCGGTTCTATAGAACCAGAACGAACCAGGGGCAACCCATCACTGGTGCATTTAGTACCCTATTTCCCCCCCAAATAAGACCTAACCAGAAAATAAGCCCTAATGTGTCTATTTATTTATTTATTTATATGCCGCCCTTCTCCGGAGACTCAGGGTGGCTTACAATATGCTAAGCAATAGCCTTCGTCCTTTTGTATATTTTATACAAAGTCAGCTTATTGCCCCCACAATCTGGGTCCTCATTTTACCTACCTTCGAAAGGATGGAAGGCTGAGTCAACCTTGAACCTGGTGAGATTTGAACTTGCAGTAATTGCAGGCAGCTGATGTTAATAACAGTGCTTTAGTCTGCTGCGCTGCCAGGCTTCTTTGGTAGGCTACCAGGCTACCAGTGTTTTGGAGCAAACATTAATATAACACCCGGTCTTATTTTCGGGGAAACACGTCACCTATAACTTCCTTAGATGAGACTCCTATAAAACTCACAGTGCTAGAATAAACGTCCAGAAGGGGAAATGACTCAGAGAAGTTAGAAGGGGGGGAAGCAGCTTCGTCGAAGCCTCTTTTATTTCAGATGGAAGTCACGTTTCCACTCCCACCGAGCGCCCAGATTTTCCTCCCGTTTTCCCACGTCACCGTCCTTCAGCAAAAAGCAACGGAGAAATTGCAACGCTCCGGGAGGGTTGGCTTTGCACGCCTTCGCCTCCCGACCATAAAACGCCTGGCATAACCCTTCTGCCCTAAAAAGACGCAGTTCGGTCCTTTTACCGCTAAAAAAAAAAAGGGGGAACCGCGCTTCGTTCAGCCCAAACTTTGCCGGCCAACTGCAGCCAAGGAGGAGTTTCCCCTCTTTCGGCGGCGGGGTCTCCTTCCACCACTTCTGCCCCAAAGGAACTCGCGGAGAGGCGCTGCCGGCGAAGCGGACCCGGGCTCCCATCGTGGATCGTGGCCGGTCTCCGAGCCACGCAGGCCCGGCCGGCTTCGAGCGAGCGGCTCTTCCTGCGGGGGCTTCCCACGCGCCGCCCTCGCCCGCATCCCCCGCCTGAAGGACGCGGGGAGGGCAGGCGGAGGACGAGCGGCCCGAGCCGGCGGGCGGGAGGCAGAGCCGAAGAGGCGGCGAGGCCCGACCCGCGGCCCGGCGCGTCTCTAGCTGACTGCAGGGCTCCGGCGACGTCAGTAGCCGCAGAGGCACAAGAGCAGCGGCAGCTCCAAGGAGCCTGGCGGCGCTGCTCCAGTGGGGAGCCTGGTCCGAGCCTCGGCTGGCGGCCGCCGCGGGAGAGGCACCAAGGCCGGCTATGCGCAGCCGAGGAGAGCCGGTAGGAGCCGCCGAGTGACTCCCCTCCACCATCACCACCCCTTGCAACCGAGGAGAAGCCGGTGCCGCGCGGCAGGATGGAGAAGGCCGGCTCCCTGCACGCCTCGGTGCCCACGCCGCCGCCGCGCCTCTACCTCCCGCGGAACTTCAGCTGCAGCGCCTGCCTCTACGGCAGCCTGGCCGAGCAGTGCAAAGGCGGCTGCAGCCCCGAGATCGAGGCGGTGGAGCCGCTGCCCGCGCCCCCTTCGCCGCCCGTCACCCGCGAAGCCGAAGCCGCCCGGTCGCCGCCTCCTCCGCCTCCTCCACCTCCACCCCGCTCCCCTTCGCCGCCCCTCCAGTCGCCGCCGCCGGCCACCCGCGGCAGAGAGCCCACGCTCCCGCCCGTGCCGCCCAGCCCGACCCTCCGCCGCCGCGCCAAATCCCTGCCCACGCCGGGCGAGCGGGGGCTCCGGCCGGCTTTGCAACACAGCCCGTCGCGGCGCAAGACGGTGCGCTTCGCCGACTCGCTGGGCTTGGAGCTGATCGCCGTGCGCCACTTTTGCCAAGCCGACGTGCCGCAGGTGCCGCCGCCTCCCGCCCCGCTGGCCGCCTCGCCTCTCCCGCGCGGCGCGGATCTGCTCAAGACGCGCAAACCGCCGGCTCTGGGCGAGCTGGAGCCGGTGCTGTTCGGGCCGCCGGCGCCCGTGCTGGAGCCTCTCTTCCCGCCGCAGCCCGGCTCCGGTGCGGGCTTCTCGGAGCGCGTCCGGCAGCACAAAGTGAAGCTGGAGTGGGTGCGCCCCGAGGCGGCCGGGCTGCGCGGCGCCGTGCGCGTCCTCAACCTGGCTTACGAGAAGACCGTCTCGGTGCGCTACACGCTCAACCGCTGGGCCAGCTGCAACGAGGTGCCCGCCGCTTACCTGCCGCCGCCCGCCGCCGCCCACGACGCCCAGACCGACCGCTTCGCCTTCCACCTGCCCGTGGGCGCCGGCACCACGCTGCTCGAGTTCGCCGTCCGCTACCGCGTGGCCGACACCGAGTATTGGGACAACAACGACGGCCACAACTACAAACTGCGAGGAAGGCAGCGGCCCGGCGGTCAGGAACCCGAAGGCGGCGGCGCCTGGATCCACTTTATCTGAACCGGGCTTGGCTCGGGTTTCTCCCCCGGCGGGAAAGCGGGCGCCTTCCTTCCTTCCTTCCTTCCTTCCTTCCTTCGGCGGGGAAAGGGCAGGAGCGCCCCTTGGAGATGGGACGGGGAGGAGGATCGAGGGGCGCGGAAATGTGACAGCCTCCCCCCCCCTTCCCCAATTTTTATTTAAATGCTAAAGTGGAAAATCGCCCTTCGGATGGCAACTGTGCAGAAGAATGGTTCTCCCGAGGGGGTTGAAGTGGGCAGCCCCCTATGTCCCTTTCTCCGGGCTTGGAAACTAAGCTGTGCTTGGTCTGGTTAGAGCTTGAATGGGAGACCACTGAGAAATCCCACCAACTAGGCTAGTCGAGTATATTGTACATCAAGGCAATTCAACTCATTGAGTCAAGCTTGATTCCCAGTAGATGACGCCTTGACTTCCCTTTTGGGGGTGCATTTTTCCCCCAAGAGGTCGGGAAGGGCTGGGATTGTTCCCTTGGACTTGCCCCGTAATGAACCTGCCAGAGACCTCTTCCTTTTGCCAGCTCCTTGACCTGCCATTCCAGAGTAAATCCGATTAAATATCTGACTTCTTGAAATGCCCAATCTGTACTATTTAGAATTGCTGGAGGAATCCGAAAAACGGCTGCCTGCTCTGCTGTCTCTTTGGAAGAAAAGAAAATCCTCCATCATGGAAACAGTTAGAATGAAGACAAGCTTTTCTCCTACACAGGTCACTTTTCTATTGGGTGGGGGGGGAGAGATTTCGAGAAGGGAGATGGTCCCGCTGCGTAAAGACTTTTTCTGCATTTGAGATGGTCCAGGCATAAATTGCCCAGGTGATTTGAAATGCAAATTTCTGGCAAAAGTTACCCCATTGGTTTATCCTTAAATCAGAGGTCTTCAAACTTGGCAGCTTTAAGACTTGTGGACTTCAACTCCCAGAATTCTCCAGCCAGTTATGCTGGAGTTGAAGTCCACAAGTCTTAAAGCTGCCAAGTTTGAAGACCTCTGCCTTGAAACAATCTTCTAAATAATAACAAAAAAAAAAAATCAGGGACAACCATATCTGGGGGAGGAAGAGAGTCATAGAGTGCCTCCCTCAGATTGACTGGACGCTGGTGAGGTCACAACCCATTTTCACTTCCTCCTTAAAAACAGCTTTTTCAGCCTCCTGTCAAATCTACTGTACCTTCTCTTCCCCCCCCCCTTCAAAAAAAAGGGAACAAATGAAAGTTTGTTTAGCTGGCAAAGGCAACACACATCCTTTTTCAGGTGTGCTCCTCAGAGCTATTGGACTTCACATAATTCAAGGGCATCCAGGCGTCCTTGGAGAGTCAAAAGTCTGGCACTTCTGAAGAACACCAGAATGAGGAAGATGGATGGGACAGAATTTTATTTTTTTAAAAAAAAAAATGCGGAAATGGAAAGAAGAAAGAAAGGAAAAAAATCACAAGCCCTGGATCAGAACTGCTTTGGAAAGAAATCCCAAAGGTTGAAGAAAGGGCCAAAAAAAGATTTCCTGTTTTGCATGCCTGCCTGCTCTTTCTTGCAACATTTGTCTAACTGTGTAGATGATCTCAACTAACCATTCCAAAGCTGTGTTGGGAGCAGTCTTATCCGTGTCTGGTTGTGCTCCGGTTTGACGGAACTTGGGCTTGTACTTCTGTTCCATCAAAGGCTCTGCACCTTCGTGCCTAAAAGGTTATCACTGAGATTTTTCAACATCTGGGAACTTCTGACTTGATTCAAATTCCCACAGCCTTCTCTCTCTCTTTCTCTCTCTTTCTCTCTCTCTCTCTCTCTCTCAAGCTGGTCTGGACCATAAAACCTTTCTCTAGTGTTTTCACGGGTATCTCTTTCTCTGCTAATTCTTCCCTTGCTGTCACTGAGTTGTGAGATGCTCCCGATTTATACTCACGTCGCCAGAGGATTATTTTTTGAAAAGTGTGTGTTTCCGAGTTAAATACAGATGGTCTATATTTTATATTTTGAGAGTTATAATTGGGGGAAGGGAGGGAGGGAAAGAGAAGCTGCTTCAAGCTTCCTTCAGAGAAGGAACTAATAGTTGAATGCAACTGTTCAGAAACATGTGTTGTAATGACTGGCAAGTATTACCAGTCTGGTGGTATTGTTTCTTATGGTACCCGTTTCCTCTTTTTTTTTTCGCCCTTCCTTGATTGTTACAAAACCTGAAGATCTTAGGCCAAGCTGTAAGGAAATGAAAATGAGTTAATACTGTTGTTGAAGTGGTTTCTGAAGAAGACTTGGAAAAATCTAACTTCAGTTCCTGAGCATTTCTAGGTGTAACAATCAATCTTTGGGTCATCAGTACATTTTATTTTATTATTATTTTTTTGTTTTAAGGAGTCAAAAAATTACAGCTAAGAAGTTGGGTCGCCAACCAACTGGAAGTAAGGTAGTTCTGGTTGATAAATCTTCTAGATTTGGAAAAATGTGGAATATCAGAAGAAATGTTACCATACACCAGAATGTGAGCCCTTTGAGGTAGACCAGGTCAAGAAATAAATACTGCAGACATACCAGAAACGTTAATGTTGTAGGGCAGAAGAACACAATCTTGAAAGCCTAAATTATTCTTTATTTGCCCCATCTTATACTGAAGAAAATCAAGGAAGTATTACTATGAGTTTCTTTCTCACCCTGTCTTCTTTCCTGGGACAGAGCCCTCTTTTCTGAAACTCCCACCTTAACGGGTTGCTCATTCTGAAGCCCGGTTTTTACGATCCTTCACCCAGAGCTAAATCTGCTTTTCTGACTGTTCCCGCATCACATTCCATGGATGTTTGTTCCAAATTAATTCAATGCTCTTGCAGAACAAGTGCGGAGACATAAGGGTGCATAGGATTGTAGCCTTTGATTTCATGACCAACCCTATTCCAAAACAGAAGATAAGCCGATTCAAACCAGAAGTCTACCTTTCTTTTCCCTGGGTATGTTCAGGTGGTGGCTGACAGCCCATCTGTCAGGGATGCTTGAATAGGGATAACTGGGACTACGGTGGCAGGAAGTTAGAGGCCTTTGTGGCACCTTCCTGCTTTAGGATTCTGTTTTATTTTATATCCGGTCATCTAGTTGGACACATGGCTCAGTCAGAAGGGCAAGACAGTATATTAGCCACGTATTTGTATGTGATCCCAGTCTCTTCCTGGACAAAATATACATTAGCCATAATAACTAATAAGTCTGTGCAAAGTGTTTGGAGGGGCATTCAGCCATCCAAAGCTGCTGCTCAGAGCATCAAGGTGACCATATCCCTCAAAAGCTCATGCGCTTGAGGTCTCACCTTGAATTTCTGAGCACACACCTTCGCCGCTGAGACCTTTAGTGGCCAAGTCGAGGCAAGCATCTTCAACAACAGAGAGGGATGCTTTGATTGCCCTGCAACCCCCTGCCCCCATGCCCCACTCCCCCAAATACAATGCACAGGCCATTGACTAATAGTCACTGATAGCCTTATTCTCCTTGAATTTTTAATCTTTTTAAACTGAATGAATCAGGTTCTGGCATTGGAAACGTGGGAAGGTGGAGATACTTTTTCTTATTTGCTGTCTCTTCAATCAAGCATACTTTAAGGAGGATGGGGAAGGTTGGACCTGAATAGCTAAAGAAGCTGTGTGGGATCTAACGCCTCACTTAGATTGTCAATGCTGGAACCTAAGAAACTGAATATTTGAAATAATTCTTTTTTTTTCTTTTTCTTTTTTTTTTTCTTGCAGCCTTTCCTGCAGGATTTGTACATAGGAAGTCTGTTGAGGCTTAAATTTTTCACTCTGCGAATACATCACTATGTCTTCGGCAATATGCACATGGGCATTCTTTGTGGGCATTTTTTTTTTGTTTTTGCAAATGTGTCTGCATAATTTGACTGCTGTTATTTATTATGACTGCAGCATCTGTGCCCTGTAAAACACCATTTGATTATGTGGGAAAGGTGCGCAGGCACATGAATCAGAGAAATACGGACGTTTTGATGTTAGGGGGTGTGGAAATGGAATTAGAATTTCTAATTGGTTTCCTATCGGATGCCAAGCAGAAATCTTTTTATTTGTTTTAAATTCTTGATGGTGGAGGAACACTGAGAAAGAAGGCTGACTTTTGCTATCTCTTTTAAATAGAAACTTAGTAAAGATATAATGCAGATTGTTTAGCTTAACAAAGTCCCGTGTCATCAGGAGATGATTAAATTGAATCCCAAAGGCTCAAACTAAGTGCCCTTTCCATCTTGTGAATTATAAACCAAAAAGAAGAAGGAAAAACCCTATCCTAAATGTTATTTCAATACAATTCCAAATACTGGAAGAATCCTAGCCTTGTTGAAATTGTCTGTGTTGTTCAGTGGATTTCTGTTTCACTGGCTAAATCAGGGGCATCGAACTCAATTTCATCGAGGGTCACATCAGGGTTGTGTTTGACCTCGTGGGGGCCAGGGGGCATGGCCAGCTCGACATCACTCATGTCGGGGGCGCCTGTGGCGGCCCAAGTGCTCTGCCAGCGAAAACAGGTTCCCAAGCTCCGTTTTTGGCTGCGACAGCCTCCTGCAACCCTCTGCCAGCAAAAACGGAGCTCGGGAGGGCTGCAAAACAGCCCTCCCGAGCTCTATTTTCACTGGCAGAGGCACCACGGGCCGGTCCTTTGCTGTTTCCAGGGTGGCCCTTGTGGGCCAGATCCGGCCCGTGGGCCTTGAGTTCGACACCCCTGAGCTAATGCTTCTCTTTTAGAAACCCCTTCCTCAAGTGAAAAACCAAAGAGATAGAGCATGAAGCCTCAACGCCCTTATCTTGAATTGTTGGTGGTACCCAAGAACCCCTTCATTCATAAGAAAGCTTAGAGAAAGCTTTCAGTGAATTGTATCCAAGGGTTTTTTAGTTTAGTTTTGTTTTTGATAAAGAAATCCAATAATTTTGTTTTTCGGCGGCTTATGGCTTAAATACAAAAAAGAGCAGCACAGTTCAGCACAAGCTTCTGATAGCTGCCAACCATTCTGCAATTTATCTTTTTCGCCAGTTAGGCTGCCATCCTCTAGCATACTCCTAATGGCATGATCACAAACTCACAAACCTCAGTTTGGCTTGTCGAGTGTAACTAAGGCCTGCCTTAAGGGAAGGCGTCTGTACCTGAGCTGCAATTTTGTTCCTGTCTAATAGTTGCATGGACGTTTACAACTTATTCAGCTGTAAGCTATTTGGACTACTGCCCATTCCATTCGGGACCAGCGTATATTTAGATAGGGAAGGTATTTATTTTTCTATTAACAGCGTTTTGATAATTATCAGCTATCAGTTCTGAAAGACAATATGTGGATAGGTACACTTATGTATATAGACTTACCTTTATATGTAGGTCTTTGGTTATTCGGGTTTTCTCCCGCGTAAAATTAGAGATGTCTTGGCAACATTTCGACGAAGTCTCATTTGTCATCTTCAGGCTGGTGTTTTCGGCTTCGTGCTTCTAGGAGCAATGTGTGTGATTGCAGCTGTTTCTTCCTTTTTATTACCTTTAATAACCTTTATTACCTTGTATATATATATATCCAAATGCTATATAGAGCTTGGTCAGTTTGACCTGAACCGCGACCTCAGGTCTGGGCTAGCTAATGCATCTCTTCTCTTGTAATCCAAATGTCTTTAATATGTGCTTGCATATCAAATAGTATAGCGATAATATTGCACTAGCTGCTTAATAACCAGCAAAGAGTATTTATGATTTATGCTGCTGTCTCCACTTCCTGATGTTCTAGAATGTGCTTTCAATACACTGGAGTTCATTCATTTTGGTTTGCAGTCTGTCAAGCTTTCCTCACTGGCATTTAATCCTGGCATAGATTTATCCTGGCATGGCGGATTGTCAGAAAATGAGGGCTACAGGGAGCCACACACATGAAAACAGGCAGAGTTTCTATTGTATCATTGGACTTCTGATTTTTAATTTATTTTTTTTATTTTTTTTGGCATCTTGCTTTTTTCAGCCACATCCTCATGATGTTGGCTACATCGTGTCTCCAGCCCAACGAGGCAACCTTAATTTATCTTTACGACCCGGTGCTAAAATGCTGGCTTGGTCCATCCAAGGGCAGCCTCTAGGTGTGTCAAAACCAGTAGGGTTTTGCTTGCAGTTTTATCTTGCAAGAAAGTTGCATGATTGGAAGTGATGGGGCACAGGAGCGGGAATGATAATCTCATGCCAGTATAGATTTATTTCCTTTTGCCAATTGAAGGATGACTAGAGGTTGATTCGACTTGGCTGCAGGGAAAGGGCCTGAGTCTCTAAAGGCAGATGGCCCAGAGGGAATGGACTGAGCTTATACAGAGACTGTTGTTGTTAGCAGGAGGGGCTTCCCCCAAATTAAGTGCTCTTATTTCCAACTCTTTGCCGATATTGCCAAGGCTCATCTCACATACATTTGATTATGAACCTTATAATCCCCCCCAAAAAAACAAGGTTTTGGGGTTACTGCTACAGATAGTCCTCCATAACCATAATTGGAACCAGAACTAAGCAATCAGTCATTAAATAGATCATCCCGTGATTTATGCCTGATTTTACGATTTATTTATTTTTTTGCCACAGTCGTTAAGCAAATCTGGCTTCCCACATAAACTTTGCTTCTTGGAAGCCAGCTAGCAAGGTCAAAAAATGATGATCAAGGGACCCCGGGATACTGTAACCATCATAAATCCATGCCGGTTGCCAAGCACCCGAATTGTGATCACATGATACTGCAATGGCTGTAAGCACGAAGATCAATCGTCAGTCACTTTTCTCAGCACTGCCGTAACTTTGAACAGTTGTTAAAAAATGGCTGTAAGTTGGGGACCACCTGTATTTCCTTCATCCTATTAATTATTGAATATTGAACATTGAACATTGAATATTGAACATTCAACATTCAATATTGAACATCCTATAAGGGACACGGTGGCTAAGATGCTAAGCTTGTCAATTGAAAGATTGGCAGTTCAGCGGTTCGAATCCCTAGTGCTGCATAATGGGGTGAGCTCCCATTACTTGTCTCAGCTTCTGCCAACCTAGCAGTTTGAAAGCATGTAAAAAATGCAAGTAGAAAAAATAGGGACCACCTTTGGTGGGAAGGTAACAGCTTCTGTGTGCCTTTGGTGTTTAGTCATGCCAGCCACATGACCACGGAGACGTCTTCAGACAGCGCTGGCTCTTCAGGTTTGAAACGGAGCTGAGCACCACCCCCTAGAGTCAGGAACGACTAGCCCATATGTACGAGGGGAACCTTTACCTAGTGAATCAGTCATGAGGCAAATCTAAACCAGAAGTCAGGAAGAATGAGATGAGGATCCAAATCGTGGCCATGGAAGTGATGATGAAAAAATCTTCCCTGGTCATTTTCTGCATAATGTGTCAAAAGACAGAAGAGAAGATATTTGAAGTAGCCTGATGCTCAGGTCTTAGCATTGGTCATGTTTCTGAAACAGAGGTGTCTGATCTTGACAACTTTAAAACCTGTGGCCTTCAACTCCCAGAATTCCCCAGCCAGCCGTGCTGGTTGAAGTCAACAAGTCTTAAAGTTTGGAGACAAGTCAACAAGTTGCCAAGTTTGACAAAACAAGCCAATAAGTTGCCAAGTTGAGAGCCCTGTCTAAAAGATGCCAACGGACTTTGGTGCACATGAAATCTTACAGAGCAAGGGTAGAGCTATTTATTTGGGGGGAATTTGTGGCTTCTGATCTGATAGGTGTTTAAGCTTCTGTTTTAATTCCATTGAGAAGAGTCGGTACTGTATCTTTCCCACATCTCTCCCCTTCCCCCCCCCCCCCATTTCTTCCCATTAGCAACTGAAGAATGTTCTGGTCCCTTAACAATCACTTATTCTAGATCCTGATCTCCTGGGGAATCATCCCATATAGATAATTCATAGGATCGCGGATGACACCATCTGTTCTTTCTCGACCTTCTGCATCAACCTTCTTAAAGCCAACTCTGTAAATCGTGATTCTTTTTTTACAGAGACAGTGAAAGGTATTCATAACATTGCTAGGTAGAGTTTATGCAGGTTTCCCAAGTACAGAATGGCTCGCTTCGGATGGACTCAAACGGTCGAGCAGGAAGCAAAAGAATCGCTCCTGAAAACTCAGGATTGTTGAGCAGCATTTTAGAATCAAACGCAGAGTTTCATGAGCCAACGTTGAAGGTACTGGGGGGAAAAGAAGCACTTTCCCAAATGAGTTTTGCTAAATGTGTCACCGAATGTAATCGAGCTCTCTTGTCTTGACGCAGCCAAATATTTCATACCTTAAGGACTCTTTTAAAGAGCAAGATCTGTCTGTGATTTATTGGCTCAAACCCCCATGAAGGAGACAGAAGCAAGGACTTTTTTCTTCTGAACCAAAGTTGTGTCCTACTAACATAAATCAAATTGTCTCTTTTTTCTCTCTCTCTCACTCTCTTTCTCTCCACCCCCCTCTTGATGGCAGCGTGGGTATTTTTTAAATGTTATATATTTTTAGAAAAACGATTTGTTCTGGTGTGTCCTTATCTGTGTGTAAACCAGCAGATTCATTTTTAGGAAGCTTAGAATGACTTCCCCCCCCCTCCCCAAAGCAATAATTAAAGCGGAAGGTTGCAGATTTTACCTTGGATTAACAGGTGTAAAATGCAAATGTGGCACACATGCTTGGGCCTAGCATGTGGAGTCAAATTGGCCTGTTCAGGTGGCCAAACCTTCTGGGTTTGTGATGCCATATGCTTCTCAGTGATTCTTCAATAATGACACATCTTGATCCGTAAAGGCACTTTAGGTTCCTGAAAGCAAGACGTTTACTAGGGATTCTTCAGTAGGAAAATGAGTATGTAGGCAGGTTGTCTCACGATGTTGTCTCATATAATACGGTTGGATTACGGTTGCTGGAACTGGGTATGTCTAGTTTGATGAAGAGAAGGAGTAGGGGAGACACGATAGCAGTCTTCCAATATCTCAGGGGCCGCCACAAAGAAGAGGGAGTCAACCTATTCTCCAAAGCACCTGAGGGCAGGACAAGAAGCGATGGGTGGAAACTAATCAAGAAGAGAAACTTAGAAGTAAGGAGAAATTTCCTGACAGTTAGAACAATTAATAAGTGGAACAACTTGCCTGCAGAAGTTGTGAATGCTCCAACACTGGAAGTTTTTAAGAAGATGTTGGATAATCATTTGTCTGAAGTGGTGTAGGGTTTCCTGCCTGGGCAGGGGGTTGGACTAGAAGACCTCCAAGGCCCCTTCCAACTCTGTTATTATGTTCTGTTCTGTTCTGTTCTGTTCTGTTCTGTTCTGTTCTGTTCTGTTCTGTTCTGTTCTGTTTTATTCGTACAATCTGTAATGTGTTTCAGGTAGTTCTCAACCTATGACTGTAATGGATCCTACCCATTCTGATTATTAATCACGGCAGTTGTAAAGCAGATCATTGTATGACCGACCCAGTTTTATGACCTTTTTTGTAATGATTATTAAGTGAATTATGTGGATGTTGAGTGAATATGCAGTTGTTCAGTGAATGCCACAGTCATTAATTAAACCCATTATTCATTATGGGGCATTTTTGCCCAAAACCAGAAGTAAACACCAGGTTTTGGCAAAAATGTTGAAAAACACGGTGAGTGTGACAACAGACGGCTGTAAAATGCAGGCCAGTTACTGAACGCCCAAAATGCAGTCATGTGACTACAGGCGGACAACCGTCAGAACTTTGGAACCAGAGTCCAAGTACCTTTTGGGAGTTTATCATAGCTTCGAATATCCATTAAGTGACCAGTCGTAAGTTGAGAACTACCTGTGCACTTTTACCTGTAAGATCTGCTCTTTTTTTTTTTTTTTAACTTGATTTATATGCCGCCCTTCTCCGGAGACTCAGGGCGGCTTACAATGTGCTCAGCAATAGCCTTCATCCTTTTGTATATTTATACAAAGTCAGCTTATTGCCCCCACAAACTGGGTCCTCATTTCACCTACCTTAGAAAGGATGGAAGGCTGAGTCAACCTTGAGCCTTGGCGAGATTCGAACCCTGCAATAATTGCAGGCAGCTGGTCTTAATAACCCGCTTAATAACAGGGTGCCTTAGACCACTGTACTACCAAGTCCTCTTGGAGGACTATTGCTCGGATGGATAACCATAGCTTTAAAAGGTTTCACCCAGATGCAGCCCCGTGTTTCTAACAGACTTTCCTGGTTAGGTGCCACCCTCCTACCCTCTTGAATTTCCACTATAATTAGGGTGGCTGAACTCTTTATTTTTCCATTTTATCCAAATTTGAGAACCGAGCATTATCCAACTGGTCCGGTGTTTTTCAACCTTGAAGATGTGTGGACTTCAACTCCCAGAATTCTGCAGTCCAGATGTTTTCAAGTTGTCAAGGTTGAGAAAAACTTACCAGCAAAAATCTGAGAAGCATAGGTGTGTCCAAAGACATTCTAAATTTGAATCTTTTAGCTGCTTTCCAACGGTAATCATTGTTCTAACACTTGAGAGTGGATCTGTTCTTTAAACAGTTCCTTTAAGTCAGAGGTTGGTTTTGCACCGTGAATATCTCCTTCCAAAACACTAAAATGAAACCCATCAATTCTTAGCTCTCTCTTTCCCCCTGTGTGTTCAAAAAGCCTAACAGGTTGTTAAAATTTTTCATATTATCACGGTAACTAATTGTAGGGATAACTTTTTATGCTCCGCATATCCATTCACAATGAACTTGGGTTAGGAAAAAAATAAGGCCAATGTAATATTATTATATAAATTCTATTCTTTAAGGGGTTTTTTTTTTTTTTTTTTTGCAGAGTTTATCTTATGAAAGTGTTTAGTCTTATGCTGCATTGGCACTCTCGGTTGAGTTTCTCTCTTGCACATGTTGAAGTATTAAAAAAAATATTCGCCGAAGGACATAGCTTCTCCATTTTTGCACGGCTCTTTAGCAAAACTTGAATAATCGTGTTGTATGTTTGTCTTGTGGAACCCCCCCTTCCCCCCCCGTTTGTGGGAAAGTGTGAATTTTACGACACTCAGCTTGTACCTCATCACAAATGCGATAGCCTTGGCAATCGTTTCAGAGCCCTTTTGGTTTTATTGTTAGATTCACTTTTTTTTTAAAACTTTCACTCTGTGAAAGCATTAAAGTATTGCCTTGTCACTGGCCAAGCAAGCAAGCAAGCATGCAAAACAAATCTATTTAGAGGAAAGTATAACTAGCACTTCCAAAGAGCATTTCTTTCTCTTTTTTTCATCATATTTTTTTGTGACTAGAAACATAGTAATGCTTGGCCTTTATTTGCTTTAGAAACTGCCCCAAATTACTTTCTGTTTTTGACTAAAAAAACCTGTTCGTCCCAGGAATTTCTCTATGCAATAAAAGCTGTCCATTTCTTCTGCATGTATTTTGGGCTTTGGTTTAAAGAAGAAAAACAAGAAAACATTATGCAAATGAGCACTTTACGAGGCTGCAAGCTTGTATAGGAGGATACGTGAGGATAAACCTCAATGAACTTGGGGAAAAAAGATTGTTCATTGTTAACGCCTTATAAACAAGTGTACGAGTTTATTGTGACTTCTGTTGGAGGACTGGTGAATTTGTGTCGTTTCTCTTTTGAGCCACTGCCCAGCAAATGAAATACAAACATTAATAGCAGTGCAATCAGTGTTTATACTAGTATTTATACCGAAGTGGAATCAGGAAGTACCAGAAATGTTGAGCAAAAATGGACCAAACCTTTATGTAACAAAAATCCGTTGACATTTAGAGTAAAGATTTATATTGAAGTTATATAGGTAGTCCTCAACTAATGACCGCCATTGAGCCCAAAATTTCTGTTGCTAAGCTAGACAGTGGCTAAGTGAGTTTTGCCCCATTTTACGACCTTCCTTGCCATAATTGTTCAGCGAATCACTGCGGTTCACACAGTTGTTAAGTGGATCTGATTTCCCCATTGACTTTGCTTGTCAGAAGGTCGCAAAAGGGAATCACATGACCCCGAGCCACTGCAGCTGTCATAAATATGAACTTTGATCGCAGGAACATGGGGACACTGCAACAGTCATAAGTGTGAAAAACAGTCGTAAGTTCTTTTTCAGTGCGGTTGTAACTTCAAACGGTTACCAAACAATTGGTTGTAAGTCAAGGACTACCTGCACTCCTATGACGATGATCTGAATTACAGAAAATATATTTAATAATGATTAATAGTATCTGACTCATTTATATGGAAGAAAGGAGTTTCCTTTAAAAAAAAATAGTAAAGAAAAAATTCTTTGATGCTAGGAATCTGTTCAGTGAAGACAAATTACTTATTACTAATTTGTCCGGTTAATATTGCAATCCTGTCTTTAATCTCGCAGCTAAACCCTATTGATTCAATGAAGGCAAGATTGATTAGACATGATCTGCATATTCCATTACAAATTGGAGTCACGTTCAGCCTTTTGAAATGGTTTAAAGCAGTGGTGAAATTCAATTTTTTTTACTACCGGTTCTGTGGGCGTGGCTTGGTGGGCATGGTGTGGCTTGGTGGGCGTGGCAGGGGAAGGTTACTGCAAAATCTCCATTCCCATCCCACTCTGGGACCAGCCAGAGCTGGTATTTGCCGGTTCTCTGAACTCTCAAAATTTCCACTACCGGTTCTCCAGAACCTGCTGGATTTCACCCCTAGTTTAAAGATACATTTCCACCCGCTGTATTTTATTTTTCACTAATCGCTAAGCCTGCAATTTACACATTTTAGAGGGACTTGCATAGGAAACTCTTGTGTGGATTGTACCCATGCTTGCTAGCTGTCAGAGAACTCTTAAAAACACATGTTCCATGTTGTGAAAATGTAACTTGGTTATTTATTTCCACTCATCGTATTCAGCATTATCTCTTAGCTGCTAAGTGTCTTGATTCCATAATGTTTAGATTTCAAGCATTGGTCAATAGGGGTTGTTGTTTTTTTCCTGATCTTTTTCTTTGTTAAAAAAAAAAGAGTTTTGTGCCATTTTATATTAATGTCTTTTACTTTTTCTGAAGCCAGTGAATATCAGTGTGATATCTTGCCTTATGACAATATTACATGTCTTGTCTAAAAATGTTATTCAGGTTGTCCTAGTACACTGAAAAATATATTTGTAAGTATTTAATTACTAAATGTCATTAAAAACTGATCCAAAATAGAGTATGGTGAATTTTTATACATGGTGCAGGCAGCTTGAAGGAAAATCTGTGCTCCAATTGCAGAGCCATGGACTAGAATTGTCATAAATTGGCCCAAAGTGTCATAAATTATTGGCAGTGGAGAATCTAGTGGTATGTTTCTGATTTTTCCCATTAATGCAAATAATTAAGCAACCATGAAGCCATATTGATGTGCTTCACTGGGAATCTGAATAAGGATTTGGATATGTTTGTCATTTTTCCTTTAAAAAAGGGATTTAAACCCATTTCTTTTCTTGTTTTTCCCATTTCCTGGCTTGATTCAGAGCCCAACTGAGGTAGAATAGAAAACGCTGTCATTCCTCATTCTGGAAAATGAGTGTGTATCATTTTGAATCTGCAGCAGTGAACCTCAATATCCAAACGCATCGCTTAATGCAAATAGCAAAAATGATAGCTCGATATTTATATATTAACCATTGGCAAACATCGAAAACAATAAACGAGCAATAAGAAACCTGAATAAGAGAGAAAAGAGCAGACATCTTAAGGTTGCTGATTCAGGTTGTCTATATCAGCCCGTGTTCGAGACCCGAGCACTATGTGATGGGGTGAGCTCCCGTTCTTGCCTCAGCTCCTGCCAATCCAGCAGTTTGAAAGCATGCAAATGCAAGTAGATTAATAGGTACCACTTTGGTGAGAAGATAATAGCGTTCCGTGCCCCTTCGGCATATAGCTATGCTGGCTACATGATCATGGAAATTGTCTTCGGGCAATGGTGGCTCCCTCGGCCAAGAAACGGAGATGAGCACCATGCCCTAAAGATGGATACGAGTGACAGGGAAATCTTTATCTTTATATAGTATTTAATTGTTTAATATTTTTTATGCCGGCCATTTCTCTTGTAAGGTGATACTGGGCAGTTTACAGATTATAAAAAGACAGAGAGAACAATGGTGAAAACATTAAAACTATGTAAATTAAAAATGTAAAGCTATATAAAAAAACAGGACCGAGAGATGGATGACCTGGGGATGAGGTCTTCTTACCCTATCAACCATCTCCAGCGACGAGATATGTACTATGCCAGAACTTTGCTAGAGCCACCAGAAATAACGCCACGGATAATTAGTGTAGACAGTCTCAAAGGACTTGGCCCTTCGTTACTGCAGCTGCAACCCTTTTAAGTCCATGGCAGCCTCAGAGCAGAGATGGAAATTAAGGCACCCATCCATCCCATTACCCTGCACCATGCAAGCAACAACATTCCAGAATGATAAGTCACTGGAGTTTTGCTTTATCACGAGAAGAAAATCAGGTCATTCTCTCCTGGGGTAGCCAACAATGGCTGACTAGGGAGTAGTCCTAAAATGGAAAGATTGCTCTCTGCTGCGGAAGGCTTGCCAAATGTATAATTCAGATCTCTTTTAGAGCCTTGTGCCAAGGCTGCACGAAGCTGTCTTTCTCGGAGCGATGCATGCTAAAATCCTTGTTTTGTTGAAAAGAACAGACAAGCGAGAAGCCAATCAGACACAGCCAGAATCCTATTTCCAGGTTGCGTTAAATTATTGAATTATCGCATATTGTTATGTAAGTGCAGCTTGCAACCAACTTGAAATGGTGGTGTATGAGTTTCAGGATAGTCTTTCTTTGTTGTTTTCTTTAGTGTCCCCTGCTCCTGCCGTAAGTCACTGAGTGTGTCCAGTGCTCCTCGAAATGTGCAAGGGACACGAACCTGTAAGACATTTCAGCAGTTCTTCCAGATTAGGAGCTATAAGCAAACTGCAGCCCGTATCTGCTTTCTCTTTGTTCAAATGTGATCTCTGGAGGTCTTGGCCTGCAGATCAACAACTGGGGCATCCATTCAGGTATCTGAGCAAATCACATTTAGCATGCAAGTGCTGGCTCCAAATTCCTCAACCATAAATACTTATACTATGTTGATTCATTAAGTGCATATAACCACGGTTAAAGGTTCCTTAACCATGGGCATGAGTTATACAATTCCTTAATCATGAGAAGTATGTATCCTAATCCCAAAGGTGCTTTTTCAAGAGACAACTGGACTTTCTAGTTTTTCTTTGAAGACGTTTTGCTTCTCATCCAAGAAGATTCTTCAGCTTCTTCTTCTCCTGGATGAGAAGCAAAAACGTCTTCAGAGACAAAAACCAGAAAGTCCAGTTGCCTCTTGAAAAAGCACCTTTGGGACAACCAGGGCCTGGATGACTGAGAAGCTCCATAGACGTATGTATCCTAATGACTAGTCTATTCAAGGAGTTTTGTAAGGCCTGAACCAGTGTATGAGTACTTAGAGACCATATGTAACATTCCCAGCAAGTACTTCAGAAAGATGGAATCCTCTCAAGAGAAAATCAAAGTAGTAGACCCCTTACAATAAATCCATGCTTAGAAAAGCATCTACACATTTGAGGGAATTTGCTCTTCCCTGGACTTCACAACTTCTCAAAACAATACCCAGATACACATCTAACATACACCTCACAATCAAAGCCCAGGGCAGGAACATCTCAATCTACATATCTGAACATCGAAGCTTCTTGTTGTTATAAATACCTACTTGTACATCCTTAACATGTGGCTGACCCCAAAGTGAAGTGAACCTCTTTGCTTTTAGGAACGAATACATCATCTCCTTTCCACACAACTTGTCTGGATTTCATTCTGATTTCTTCTCGCACAACCCTGACAGAAATTATTATTCTTCTGATATCGTAATGCAGCTTTCCCCCACAAAGATATAAAAAGGTAAAAGCCACCCCAAACCCCTTGGTAAAGTTTGCCACACTGATCAGTACTCCAAGCAAGAAATAGAAATGCAAGGAATAATAGAGTTGGAAGGGACCTTGGAGGTCTGCTAGTCTAACCCCCTGCTAGACCCCTATAACAGTGATGGCAAACCTATGGCACACGTGCCACAGGTGGCATGAGGAGCCATCTCTGCCGGCACACGAACCGACGCCCAGGTCACCTCCACCCCGCATGCCCGTGAGCCTCCCACCAGCCAGCTGAAATTTTGGATCTTTGCCAGGAGACGCGAATGCATGGCAAGGGGTGGGGGGGGCACACACGCACGCATGCATGGGTGATGAGGGAATCGCCCCCTGCGCCCCGTTTTTGGTTCCAGGAGGTTTCAGGGAGACCTGCTAGCACCAAAATAGGTCGTGCATGCATGCACGGGGAGCATGGGGGGGTCATGCGCACATGTGCGGGGGGTGGGGCCCACGGGGGGGCATTGCATTATGGGTGTCGGCGCGCTTTCAGCACCCAGGAAAAAAAGGTTCAACATCACTGCCCTATAACACTTCAAAGAAATGGTTGCCCAGTCTATTCTGAAAGCCTCCCGTGATGGAGCACCCACAACTTCTGAAGGAAAACTATTCCATTGGTTGATTGCTCTCACCGTTAGAAAATGTCTCCTTAGTTCTAGGTTGCTTCTCAACGTAGAAGGTGGGAGGTGCAGTGGTTAAGCCAGCTGAGCCAATTCTACCATTCATCCTCCGCAAGAAAACTAGGTTCTTTCAAGGTTTTTATTATAAATATCATGAATTGCTTTGCTCATCCCTCTCCCACCCACCCACCCCTATTGGCTTATTTTCTGGATTGATGCTTTGTAATTGAAAAGCCTTTGATCCTGTTCAAATGGTTCTGTAACTCATTCAGAGCTGTTCACATTATATAGCCCAATTCCTCCCTGGCATCCCCCCTCCTCCTCCTCCTCCTCTCACCCCACATTTTTATGGCCTGTTTGCTCTGCCAGAGCAGTTGGCAGGGCCTTTGAAAATGATCTCCCCCCTGCTCCCTGCCCCACAGAGCTTTCTGGACATTTCTATTCCAGCCTTTTCCTCTTGCCGTTCACGTCCAAATGTGGGAAAACAAACGTCTCATGCGGATTGAGGCTAGGAGACATTGCAGTGGTTCTTTCAAAAACATTCATGAGATGAAAGCAGTTTCCCAGTCAGGTTGTGCTGTTTGCTGTTTGCACCCAAAATGAATGACATCTATTTTTTTTTATTAAAAAGTTTTAACAAGTATTACAACAATTTTTCCCATCCCTCCTCCCCCACTTCCCTCCTCCGCCCATCTCCCCTCTCCCTCCAACCCCCCCCTCCCCCCACCCACCCACCCCGGACTTCCCAGAGCAAAAACAGGGTATAACATAACAAACTTAGGCTAAAATAAGCTAACTTTCTGTAGTCTCCAAACTCCCTCTTGCTCTTTAACTCCCGTTTCAGCTAACAAAACATAATTCAAAAAGAAAATATTGGTTTCATTCATAAGCTATTTGAAACTTTTTAGTCCGATATTTGTTTTGAATATAGTCAATCCATCTTCTCCATTCCGATATATATCTTTCATTTGAAGAGAGAGATGGAAAACCCCAGCAATCTTGATCCTCATTTTACCGATCTTGGAAGGATGGAAGGCTGAGTCAACCTTGAGCCAGTCAGGATCGAACTGCTGGCAGTCGGCAGAGTTAGCCTGCAATACTGCATTTTAACCACCACACCACCATGCAGTGTCCTTTCACTTGTCAAATAATGTGTGTGTGTGTGAATGTGTATATATCTCATATATATATAAGATAGAGACGCGGTGGCTCAGTGGCTAAGACACTGAGCTTGTCGATCGAAAGGTCAGCGGTTCAGCGGTTCGAATCCCTAGTGCCGCGTAACGGGGTGAGCTCCCGTGACTTGTCCCAGCTTCTGCCAACCCAGCAGTTCGAAAGCACGTAAAAAAATGCAAGTAGAAAAATAGGGACCACCTTTGGTGGGAAGGTAACAGCGTTCCGTGCGTCTTCGGCATTGAGTCGTGCCGGTCACATGATCACGGAGACGTCTTCAGACAGCGCTGGCTCTTCGGCTGTGACTTACAACCATTACTTTAGCAACTGTTCGAAATTAGAGGAGCGCTAAAGAAAGTGATTTATGACTAGTTCTTACATGCATGACTGTCGCAACATCTTCGCAATCTTGTTATCAAAATTCAGCTGCTTGTCAAC